CACAGAAACAGGCTAAAAAGGTGTCATAGAATGTTTGTACGGGAACCGATGTCGCCGGCTACACTTCCACTTAATAGATAATAGCCAATCAAATGACGCGACATCAAACAATCAAACCAATCAGAGCTCACACCCAAGAGCGAAGACGCAATCAGAACCAAGTTTTGGTCAAGTTGTGAGCATTTGCTTTCACAGAGCCGTAGCCTGCCTGCTCTGCCCATAAGGCCTTTCTAACCTCTTTCTGTTTTCTGTGGGTGAAGAGCTAAATACTGCAATATCCTAAGCACGAACTTTTGGCAGATCCGTAATAGTATTGCCATCGATTAAATTTCTATGGAAGGAAAGGATTCAGTTTTTTCTTACGTCCGGGATATATGCTGTTGAGTTTCCATAGAAACTTTGACGGAGGCGATATGATTACTGTCAAAATTCGTGGTTAGGGTACAGATGTTACCGGAATCAACAGTTTAGCGTAATTGCACATGCAATCAGTTCTTTTGTCTGTACCGTGTCACTCCTGAATTTCCCATCTTTACCGCTTTATCTTTCAGACAAAATCCGTTTAAAAAAGTATTATAAATGTGAAATTGATATATTAACTACCTATTTTATTATAACTTCAAGTTAAGTTTCTATGTCTTACCAATAGTTTGTAATTTTATAAAAACAAATTCGCATGCATATAATTACATAGAAAATTGGTCACTATTTTAACAGAATTTTAACCAAAAGTCTGCGGGAATACAGACCCTATTTTTCATTCTGTTTATCTCTGAAGCTAAACCGCAGTAAACAAACCGCGAAGTTGACATGGTACCGTCGTCCAGGATACCATAATATTTCCTTTTATTACAGCCATAAATGTTAGTCACATACTAAATAACTACTTCAACAGACACTTAACATTTATGTGCTTCAGTGACCGGCAGTGACTGGACAACTGATCTAATTATACTTACTTTAACCAGTATTGCATAATTACTATGTAATTAATATTTATTATAATATGTTGTGTAAGTATATATTTTGTAAAACAAACGTTTATTCAGTGATTATAATATAAACTAGCATTTGCCTACGGTATTGTCTGTTTGTACTTTGGATATAATAAGAGAAGTTATGTTTCATAAATTTATTTGCCAATCTCTGCTCCGCACAACCAGGTGCAGAAAATACTCTGATAACGATAGACGACCTCCGTAGCCGAGTGGTTTGTACGCCGGGTTTCATGGTGTAGCCGACTCGAGAGGTCCCGGGTCCGAATCCCGGTGGGGGCAGATGTTTGTGTGATGAATACGAGCATTTGTACTCCAGTCATGGATGTTTAATATGTAATTCTATATAAATATACTTAAATATGTACAGTATATGTATTGTATCCGTCATCCTAGTATCCCATAACACAAGCCTTATAGTGCTTACTTTGGGGCTAGGCTAATTGGTGTGAGTGTTGGCAATATTTATTTATTTATTATAAATCGATGTACCTATCGCAGTGTTTCCAGATCGCACCGCTTTTTCGCTTTTTGTACCGTCTTTTTGACAATGGTCCCGCTTCCGGTTTTTTATCTACTAGAACAACCTCTATTTTCCACACTTATCGTACCTTGCTACTGTTTGGATTTAAGAAATTGAATTTACCGCGTTTTTTTATTTCCTCCTCTGACAGCATAGACCTATCGTCGTCAACTTCGTTGTGACATGTCTTACACTTCACTACAGCATAATATCTATGTAAATAAATAAGAGTAGGATGGACCACTTTGACGATTATTCAGAATTTCTCCAAAGTCAACTTTAACAGGTGCAAATTCTAAATACGTCCTTTCTGTTGGTGACTTTTACGTTGGACTAAACCGTACAGCAGTTTCGGCGTGATCGAGTATCTGACGAACAAACAAACATCCATACTGTTACATTTACCATGCCGACAGATTTATATGAGCGGAATCGGAATGCATAATACCTTAGTGCCAACGCCAACATCAAACGTTTATTTTCAGAACAGGAAGGTAAAATAAACGCATTATGAGCTGAATTATTGTTTTTGCGCCACAGGTAAATCTTTGTTTTAATAATTAAATACCTACCTAATGAATATTTATAAAAAGTCTTCCTGCGAAACGTCGATAATATCCTGGAGACTTTATTTAAGGTCAATTCGTACTAGAGCAGAGTAGAGCATCGAAGCGTTAAATTCTTCACAATTAAAGCGAAGCGCGTATTCGCAGATATTAGCATGAATTCGCACGCATTCACACGCTTTTATATTTACTAGTGATGAAATGGTACTTCTGTAGCCAGATGACTCTCGTAGTCCAAACTCGTATAAAATTGTTGACATATATCTTCCTATGATGTTACCAACTTATTTCGGGTCTCCGACACAGGTCAGTTTCTTACGACTGACAACTCGTTGGTCTGCGTGGTTTTCGTAAGTGGGTTAGGAAATACACCATTTAAGGTCGCACGAATTCCATTGAGGACTACGTAGCAGCATTGCCACCAAAATCTCAAATAATTATATCTAATGTTTTAACGTTTCGTAGCGTGTTGCGGTAGCATCACGCTGAGGCAGGGTCCTGATTGACCACAAATTGTACTATATTTTTTTTCTTTACTCCATTATGTATGTTTCATATTTTTTTTGTATGTTGTTTTGTAAATTTATTAATGTGGTCAATAAAAATGATTCTCTCTAACGTCAAGTTTGTATTGTCACAGCCTGTTCGAGCAGGAGATAATGAGCTACGTGCCGGCGGGCGGGTGCAGCGCGGCTGCGGGCGCATCCCCTGCTGCCTCACCCGCCGCAACAAGGACAACACGCGCGCCCGCGCCGCAGCGACGAGACTTCGAGGCGAAGCTGCGCGCCTTCTACCGCAAGCTGGAGAGCAAGGGCTACGGCCAGGGACCCGGCAAACTCAAGTAAACAGACTTCTCTATCTCATCACTTCTTCCATAAAGTTCTCGTCTTAATAGGTACCTATATTGGAAGAAACGAGGAGCGCTAAGGCCATAACTCTTCTCCCAAGGATGCTGAATGAAACAGCCGTGTGCTAAGTAGTTTATTTTAAAGGAAAACCACAATAAGTCAATGATATTTTTTGTTGAAGTATTTATGTACAGTGCTGCGCCGTGCGACTTCTACCATAAGTTCAAGAGCAAGAGCTACTTCCAGGAGTTCGTTCGATAGACACATTGTTGTTGTTAATTGAAAAGTATTATTAAACTGTATGTAGATAGCAGGATCCATGTATGAATTAAGTAGTGTGACTTGAAGGCGTACCTAGCATTCCCACTGGTTGGGAAAGGATAGCCTACCCACACCCACATTGATATAATCAGATATCATACATAAACTTGATTCTTCCGGTCTTCAATAAAATATTGTAAGCTGGCATATTAACACTTTTATTCGACTTATATATTCATTGCAGTCAGTTTTGTAAGAAGAGCTCGAAAGCAATCTTTTAACTCATTTTTTATAACAAAGGCTCGAAATAGCACGCTGTTTTAATTAAAAACCCGTGCCGTGGATCGTAAACAGTTTTAACTCGCACCAACAAAGAAATGGGGTCAGCGGTCAGCCATAGCAAGCAGCGCATCCCGCTAATTGGGTCGTCTCGTCACATACATCAGTATATACCCAGTCCCACATAAAATAAAGCGACCCCATGCTAGATCCGAATTTAATTAACCTGGCGACGGCAGCTATGAACTTTGGTGGGTGGACAGCGACCTTTATGTAAGGCCCTTAAAAATAGCACGTACATTAGGTAAATGAATTGAATCAATACCACCCACCCACCATCATCTAATTGTAGTATGGTGTCACCAACGGCTAGTTTAATTATACTTAACTGAAACCTGAAATACATTTGGCGTTTTAAACGTAGAAATGTGTGGGTGCGTGTGTACTACTGGCCTTGTTAATGGGGTTCAATAGTATTTGTAGTTTGAATGAATAGTGTGTGGATAAAGTAATCGTTAGTATTGAATTGATTAACCTTATGTATGAATGGTGACGCATTACGGTTATTATTTCGTAAATTAATTAAAAAAAAATGTTTTCTGCATCATCAGCTATGCCACTCAGTTCTTACTGAACTTATGATAGGGTGTAACAGTTTTCGTCATCACCATCATCATCAGCCTATTAATGTCACTACTGCTGGGGCACAGGCCTTCCCTATGGAATAGGGAGATTGGGCCATGACTAGTGTTCCAGGTCCGATTTGTTTTAAATCGCTACGTGAGGTCAAAACAATCTGGATTTAGGGTTATAGGTCGGGACAGTAAACAAAAACAAAGAGTTTTAAAGTCTGGGTTTAATTTATTGCGTTTTAAACTACTAGTGCAAGTATAGTATTATATTAATTACTTAAATTTCCTATTTTGAATAATCGGGACATTTAGCGTTCCGATCAGGTACAAATCGTGACGCATCCCCAGACCCCTAAAAAACGGGACGTCCCGCGCAAATCGGGTCACCTGGCAACACTAGCCATGACCCACCTCGCGGGCCCAGTGTGGATTGGAGGGTGCTCACGACTGCAGATGCAGCCGGTACCAACGGCTTAACGTGCGAGAACGAGATAGAAGATTTTTGGTCACTCATCTGCTGCTATACCCGCGTACTCTTGTGCGTTTTTACACTATGATGGTGGCATAATTCGTGCGTGCGTTGCCTACGCTTTGAAGGTTACTGGCTTATACTGTTTTTAACTGCGGTATGGTAAATGTTTCTGTGATGGACAAGTATAAACTAAGAGCCCCGCCGTGATTCAGAAAGTTTGTTAAGCCTTTGATCCTGGCGGCTTGTGCAATCGTTGCAACACCCACCAATAATCCATTCCGGGCACGGGTGGGTGTTCTTGACCTGTTCTACCTATTTTTCATAGGCGATTATTGTTCTCCAGCAGTGGGGTCACTAATAGGTTGTACACGGCGACGACGAACAACAATTATCATAATATACTTTTTAAGCATTTAACTGCCAGATGTATAAATCTAAAGAAAATTTTACTTGCAAAAATTCCACGCGGACCAGGCAGCAGATGGGACTCAAACCCGCACCCTCCGCTATCCGGGCAGATGCACTGACCATTATGCTACCGCGGCCCTTATTGTCCGTGTCAAATTTTCTCTTGCATTACATAGGCTGCAAGGCAGCGCCATCTCTTCGCATTGTAGGTAACCCACAATGTCAAATAAATACCTTTACAGGTATCAAACATTTATAAGAATTAATAGCAATTATAGTAATATTTTTCTCGGATTCGAGTCCCGTCTACTGCCTGGTCCGCGTGGATTTTTTTCTAGTAAAAAATTCTTTAGGTTTATCATTTTCTTACTGACGATATCCCCAATCCTTCCAGACTGCACATACGTCGCGAACATTTGCTAGAAGACGCGTTCAGACGGATCATGTCGTGCGGGAAGAAGGAGCTTCAGAAGGGCAAACTATGCGTCCTGTGGGAGGGAGAAGAAGGCCTGGACTACGGCGGGCCAAGCCGCGAGTTCTTCTTCCTGCTCTCCCGGGAGTTGTTCAACCCCTACTACGGCCTGTTCGAGTACTCGGCCAACGATACGTACACTGTGCACGTGTCGCCGATGTCCGCCTTCGTGGATAACCATCATGAATGGTGAGTCTGAAATCATCTCTTATCTATTAGACAAGTCCGTCCGTCCGTCCGTCTGTCTGTGGTGCTGTTTCAGCGGCCAAACCGTAAGAGATAGATAAAGAGAACATTTAAGTTATAAGTTAAGAATGGTCTGATAAGACTACAAACCGGATTTGAGTAACGTAGCACTTCCGGTTTTCGAGAAATCACGAATTTCAAACGAAACCACACAAAATCTCCGAAGTTCTCAATTAATTAAATACATTTTTTTTTAATTGGTGAACATCTGGTTCACTGGTTTGCTAGTCATTATTGTTTAGTTAAAAGGGTGGCAAACAATCGCCTGCGATCCCAAAAATATCACACCACCAAAAGGAAGTGTTATTTTACTGTGATCGTCTGTAAGGTGGAGGTTACTTCCTCAGACATGCGCTCCAATTCGAGCAACTCTGCTGGATAAGAGAAAAAATTTACAGCAAAGTATTACGTAAGCAGATTTATTACAATTATTTACCCCCTCCTCCCCCTTGTCAGCAAAAGTAAGCAAAGCACTTACCCCCCCCCCCCCTTCCATGCTTACGTAAACATTGGTACCTATATGCATTTTTCCGTTAATGTATTGTTTTTTTATTGATTCATGAGCTTTCATGAGCTTCATGAGCAGCAGTACTTAAAGAGGCTTAGGATTGAGGACTTTAACGCACACAAAATTCATTCAAACAAACTTTATAATCTTAATATGTACTACGAACGTATAATAATAAAAATGTATTACGAACAAAACAAACTTATTTTGAATTTTTGGTATACATATTAATTCCAATTAACAGTCTTCAGACCATGGACACCCGAATCCATGATGCTGACGTAATCACTATTTCGACCCCCCACCCCCCCCCCCATGTCATCAAAAATAAGTAAAGCAAAGACCCCTCTGCCCCCCTATAGTTTTTACGTAATACTTGAGCGGCCCCAAAAGTGTGGTAAAATTTTAGAATTTAATAAATATATTGATAAGTCGCCACAATTATTAGGACCGAAAGAAAATGGTTTGCGACATAGAATATTTGTACTGATTACACAAGTAATTGCTCCTCCAGGACTTGGACCCTGCACTTTATAGTATAGACACTAAAGCAGGATCGCTACCTTTTTTTTTTAAACGCAAATTAGCCTTGCCCCAAAGTAAGCACTGCAGGCTTGTGTTATGGGATGCGATAGAATACATATTATATAAGTATATTTATATAGTAATACATATTAAGCATCCATGGCTGGAATACAAATGCTCGTATTCATCACACAAACCACTCGGCCACGGAGGTCGTCAGTGTCACCTTTATACCAATAAGTCTAAACTATTCAATGTTGTTTTGTGTGAAATGCTTAGTAAGTATATTTAGTAGTTTTGCCCTTGAGCTGCTAGGAAGACTTAACACATCGAGTTGGTAACTGAATGCGCTTTCAGTTTCTTTACGTTTATGTAAAGTAAATGTTAGCGCAAATACAAATGATGTTAAGCTACGATCTAAGCTATACATTATTACCTAAATGCTGAATATATGAACTATATGAACCATTCAAAATATTTTTTTTTCAAAACAGAGTTTCTTCTGAATAAAATCTCATTTTTTTAATTATTTAATAAGCTGTCTCAATAAAAAAATAAGACTTTTCCTAAATTTTGATTATTTTAAGCCTTTAACTGTTAGATGTTTAAATCTCAAGATTTTTTTTCTAGTAATATTTTCTTTAGGACTTATCATAATAACATAATCCAGGTATGAAATCGTATAATTAAAATTACATTACAGTTAAAAAATATTGCAATTAAAGAGAATAACATCTTAGTTAATGATGCACCAACTAGGAAATGAGCACAGTTGAAAAGCTTCCTATATTGTGTTACAAATAATGGCTATTACAAAACTATGTTATAATAGAACATTGTTGGTGGCGTGCTGATTATCTGTTATTACCACGCGTACCTATAATTAGCATTTGCATTACATCCCGTATTGTGATGGTAATAGAAATTAAATAGCATGTAGCATTGAAACTGCAAGTAAATGAGCAGCATCAGATTATGAGATCATCTTACCATTTATACCCTACTGAAAACCTACCCTGAAAGTCAAAACTGTACATTGGATATTTTTTACAAGAATATTTGGGGTGTGTGATCTATAAATAAATAATAAATAAATAAATATTACCAACACTCACACCAATTAGCCTAGCCCTAAAGTAAGCACTGTAAGGCTTGTGTTATGGGATACTAGGGTAACGGATAGAATTCATATACTGTACATATATAAGTATATTTATATAGAATTACATATTAAACATCCATGACTGGAGTACAAATGCTCGTATTCATCACACAAACATCTGCCCCCACCGGGATTCGAACCCGGGACCTCTCGAGTCGGCGACACCTTGAAACCCGGAGTACAAACCACTCGGCCACGGAGGTCGTCTATAATCGATACAAAGCCAAAAATATAGTTTTTAGATTTTTTGTCTGAATATATGTCCGGGATAAACTCAGAAAGTACTGCATGGATTTACTTCAAATTTGGCAAGAATTAAGAAGTCGGTCAACATATAGGCTACATATTATCACGCTACTCCACCCCTAACGGGGTAATACGGGGGTTGGAAGTTTTTACGAAAGTCCTATTTTTTTGAAGTAAGAGACTTGAAATTTAACATGTATGCTCTATAGATGGTGTAGAGGTGTACTAATAATGTATCTTTAGAAATAAACCCCCTTTTGGGGTCAAAAAGTATGTGCAAATAATTAACTCCACGCGTACGAAGTCGCGGGCAGCCGCTAGTACACATATAAAACAGATGTAAGTAGAGCACCCAGTAAATTATCAGATTTACGGCCATGACAAAATATATTATTTAGTCGAATCAAGAAGTATATTTAATAAAAAAAAAAGATGGTGTGGTTTGATGAAACCACGATGCAAGTGAAACTTTTCAAGTATTTTACATCGCTTAGTTTGTTTTCATGCACTTGCCCGGGTAGCAATATCCCGGGCGGGAACATAGTGATCACTGTATACAGAAATATCTTTACAATCACCAATTCATTAGAATCTACAGTTTTGATTTTAGGTTGCTATACCTTCCATACGTCATCAAAAATTCAGATCCCATACATCATCAAACTATTAAAATGGACAAGTTGAAAATAACAAAACTTCTCTTTTTGCTATTAAGATTAATATCAAGGAGTTTGCAACTTAAACTAAAATTAAACCGGAAAACGAAATAAAATAATTAAAATAACTTTATAGGTTGGGACAAAATTTTAAGTCCAGTTAAGCGCTACTGTCTAAACATGAGCTATTTTTTAATAGCTCTCTAATAGGGTGTGTATGACATAATCATAATGAACATACAATATAATGTGACCATTTAAACGTAGCGTAGCAGAAATCATTATCCCCTCGTCCGTATATAGATTTCCGCCGATTGTATGCGTGTGCGCACTCATTCGTTAAACAGTGTGCCACTCATCAGTTTTAATCGAACACAAAGCTGCTTTTGGCACAATGTTACTGAAACAAAGGATAATGACGGGATTTACAAGTCGAGAACAACATAAATCAGTTTAAGTGTCTAAAGACAGCTAAATTGTTATTTATTTGTTCACCAAGGTTCACCATAACGTAAATACAAGATGGCAACGCATTAAGAACCCTTTTACAAAATTGCGCCTCTACCGTACTGTACCGTAACCGTAGGTAGATTTGCACTAGTATATATTGCATTTTACGGGTGATGTTTCGAGTCTTATAAAATAATTATTAATGAACTAATTCTAAAAATATTTATACATATTTCTGTAGTTCAATGATGGTAGATTAGTTTTATGAAAGTTTTTGATAGTAATTATTAATTATTAACTATGTAATTCAATATCGGAATACGAGGTAAACCTGCATTATTTTTTTGGAAAACTCACGGAGGTTAGATGTTTTTCTTTTTTGATAATTAATGAGATGGTAAATCAAAATTCTAATACATTATGTTATAACAAAACATATTTCTGATGTCATAGTAATTAATTTGATCTAATTTATTGACCATTATTGAGAGATTTAGGCGTTCGAAGTTGTGCATATTATCGTTTTTTCCGTAAACTAGCTGCAGTATAACGCAGGCGCGGTCCGAAGGGGGGGGTCACAGGGGACATGACCCCCCCCCCCCCCCCCCCAAAATCTAAGGTCATTCTTGACATTTGGTACAAAGTAGCAAAGAAAAAATTGCGAAAACCGTGAATTTTTAGTTACATCATACAGTAAAAAATATTTTTGAAAATTCAGGTGTGTACGGAACCCTCGGTTCGCGAGTTCGACTCACTCTTGGCCAGTTTCTTTTATTAGTGTAATGAGTGACCCCCTCCAAAATTTCAGGCTGCGACCGCGCCTGGTAGAACGATCGGTACAAAAAAAGGAAAATAGTATTTGCAAATATTCTACGTTTACTTACAATAGGAAGAATAAATCTACTGTTTACTTCAATTGGAAATAGTCAAAATCTTTTCTAAGGAGGTAAACGCGGCGATACGATTTTTTGTAAAATATGTGAAAGGGCTCTTAACAGCACGGGATAAACTTGAAATTATAAACTAGATTAACACAAACAAAAAATTAAAATATCTTTCGAAACATATTTGTTTTGTCCGTGTGTATGTGACTGAATTCCTAAATAGCAGTACTCTATTAAACTCTTTTTTGTGTGCTTTCGAGTGAGATTATAGTCACAAGTTCACAAATGAACTCGTTATGTGGCCTTGTACTTATGCAGAACAACGCCTGTCGAGTCATACTAGAATATATAATTCAATTTACTGTTTACTGTCTTTAAAATAAAATCATAATGCAAATTACCACTTTAATAATTGAATTCTATTATAGGCTATAAAACTTAAGTGTGACAATTTGTTATGAAGGGAAACAATTTTGCGATGTCTCTTTATTATAGTATACAAAATGATATTATTAGTTCAATTCAATTCAATTCAATTTATTGCACTCATGTGGTTACATCGATGGTTACAAAATGTTTATAGTACCTAACATGAACCCTGTCAGGGTATCGCAATATACAGTACAGTTAAAGATAAAAATTACAAAAGCATCTAATTAATAAACAGTTATACAAAATTACAAAACCATCTAATTAATAAATAGTATATAAGGAACCTAATTTGCACCAAACCACCTAAATCTCAAATCATGCATAAATGTCATCTGATTCCAAGTTCCAAGCACGTTATAATAAAAAATATCGTTAAAATTAGTAATAAATGTTGAGATAACATTTTTTACTCGTATATAACTAGTTAAAATTATATGGCAATATTATGTACATTCGGTAAAAATCCTATTGAAATATAAGTACTATATCTTCCATATATACGTACGCTTCAATATGACGGATGAGTCAACGGGGATCTCGCGGTTTCACACTTAACAGCGTAGTAGAGGGTATTCGCAGGGTTATTCAGTGGATAGTATGCCGTAAGCCGCGCGGACTGCTTAACGCCTGGGTTCCGAACCTGGGGGTAATTACCCCTCCGGGGGTAAATCAGCCATACTTCGGGGGTAACAAAGAACCTAATTATTTGGTCAAATCTAAATAATAAGAAAAAAAAACTATATAATAATACTACTAAATAGAGCATGCGCTCCTTCTTGCTAGTGAGCCCGCGGGGTGCTGAGAGATTTCTTCCTGATGATGACATTATTAGAGACGAAGATGTAGCGGCCAAATTGGAATTTCTTGGACTGATGATAACATTTTAAAGTCGGGGTAAAATCTGTTTTACAGGGGTAGCAGTATTGGAAAGGTTAGGAAACACTGGCTTAATGGCTACTCCGCTTCGCACCCGTGAGACTAGCGAGAGGCTAGGTGTGAGGTCCATTCGTTGGTGTTGTTAAGGGCGCCAACATCTGTAAATAGAGCATTTGCCTGCGTAATAAAAAAACAGTATATGTATGCCTTTACCGGACCATAGCTTACCTTTCCATTGTGTACGTGTGAATAATAAAGGTATATCTATGTTTTACGGTAAACCATCCAAATATATAGTTTTGGAGAGCGCTCTTGTGGCATACTTTAGGGCAGTGTCTCCTGCGCGTCTATATTTACTGCGCGCTGGTTCCGGCGTGCGCCCGCGCAGGCCCCATACAGCATCGTATCGTGTTACCGCCGATCCACTTACAAACAAACAAACCAATCTTTTTCACTATGCTTACTAGTTTTTTGCCCACTGTGACAACACTGCAGTAATTGTAACTCAATATCCCAGAGCTCCAATTGATGCGTAACGGGTCTCTTGATATTTGGGAAATGAGAAAAAAACACCAGCGTAATGTATGAACGCGGCTCCGGTGATATTAAAATATCAAGTTGCACAATAGTGACGTCCATTCTAACGACGAGATGGTATTTTGTTGCGAACCTACCTACTTCTTTTTATACGACGCATTGTTGTCAAATATTAATGGGTAGGTCACTCTAAATGTTGTAATGTTAAGAGTGAAATAAGTGAATTGAAACCAGGTTCGATTAAAAAAGAAATCTCACGGAAGGTTTATAATAGTTTATATAATATGTAATATAATCTCGAGAACAGAAACTGTAATTTACATTGAAGCGAAGCTAATACGGGTTTCTAATATTATTGTAATATTTAAACCAGCTGACCTAAGTGACGTTAGCCTAGAACCCGACTGCAGCGCCATAACTACAGTTGTGAATCTAAACAATCTACCATTCGAATAACACATATGTTTTTTAATAAAAAATAGCAATCGATGTTTGTATTGTTTAAGTTGTAGGAGGAGCTCGATGGCGCAGGTGGTTAGAGCGTTCGGCTGCGATCGTTGAAGTTAAGCAACTTTCGCGGTAATCGGTCATTCGATGGGTGACCAAAAATCTTCTATCTTGAGTTCTTCCGTGCAGAACTCGGTCGGTCTGCAGTCGTTCGCACCTGCCAATCCGCACTGGGCCCTCGTGGTGGGTCATGGCCCAATCTCCCTATTCCATCCATAGGGAAGGCCTGTGCTCCAGCAGTAGGGATATTAATAGACTGATGATGATGATGATTGTTAATTATATTCCGTGTCTATGTGCGCAGGTTCCGATTCTCTGGGCGAGTGCTGGGCCTGGCGTTGGTACACGGCTACCTATTAGAGGCGTGGTTCACGCGCGCCCTGTATCGCGCTCTGCTGCGACTGCCGCCCGCCTTAGAAGACGTGGACGCACTGGACGCGCAGTTTGCCGCCTCCCTGCGATGGTTGCAGGTAATATATAGATATATATACTAGTTCACCCAACGAACTTCGTACCGCCATAAAAATAGGAGCAGTTGGTAGAACAGAAAATTTAGGGATATATGTATTTTTTAATACCACATTATAAAAAAATAAATATTGTCCAAAAAAATTTTAGGGGTGTTTAATGTAGTGTTCTATCAATTTCCTGGGATAAAATTCCTCCTAACCCATATGAGAACACTACGTTACAATACCCAATAATTTAAATTTTGGCGCGAAGGCGCATTGTAGGTTTCAGAACACTACGTTACAGGTGGACAACCATTATCACTTAAGGATATGAAAAATAGATAGTAACCGATTCTCAGACTCACGGAATATGCATATAAAAGGACATTGGGCAAAAATGTATGGACGCTGCACCCAAGTCTGCCACGGCTTAAACTACATTTGTTTGAAAGGTACTATAGTCGAGATCATCTGTGCCATAGCGCATCAAATTCCATCCCGGGCGTCTTTAGTTATTTTAAGTACTTGTACATAAATACTATAACGAACGAACATTAATGAAACAAGGGAATTAATTTAGTTAGTTAGGTTAGTGCTCAGGAATTATGGGAGTACTTCACAAGATGCAAGGGTGCCCCTTATGTTATTCTGCCGCGCTAGAGTAAATCCAAAAATCCCCGCTTGGGTTAGGTTTTTTTTAAACATTCTGTTCGTTATAGTAAATTGTCTTCTATGTAAAACGGAGCGACCACAGATTACACAAACTTGTCCACGCTTCGGAGAACACATGACTCCAGTTTATCCATACTAATTGACAAAACCAATAATCGTGTTCCAATATCCAAAGCGTGTTAGATAAAAAATAATCAAGTAGAATGGAGCGCACAATCACAACGAAGTAAGACAAGTCGACTATTTGCAACTGCAAGTCCTTCATCATCCGTAAACCGTTTTGTAATTAAGAGCAAGCGCAGGATGGTCGGCAGGCTTTGACGTATATCTGGTTGTATAGTACGATATTCAATAATAATATTATTATGATTACTAATTATATAAAATGAAGGTACTATAAAATGAATTTATTCAGCTACTTAAATATGCCCATGTGTCAAATCTATTCACTACCAGGACATTTTTTACGGTGTCATATCTTTTGACTCCCAGGATATTTATTTTCGGTGTCATAATAAAAAAGGCTAGTTTTTCATAGATCTATCGATTCATACTAATTACATTGTTGGCGGAGCTGGGTGCGTTTTGCCCATTGTCCTTTCAAGTCCTTCCTTCCATTACAAATATAAATAAATAACATATAAATATGAATATTAAAAACAGACTAATATAACATATAGTTTAAGAATGCCGTTTCCCATAGTTTAAACATAAAATTTGATTAAAGTTAAATACTACGATAAATAGCATCCAACGTAGCAAGAGTAGACACATTTCCGCTGGCAGCACCCGTTCACGAGCGTGACGCATGAACCAGCTAACAGCCAACCAGAGCTTCGCTCAACTAATTTAAGGAACGTAACGACTAGCCTCATACGACCCACGACTTATTGTAGTCGTAGTGTTCACGGGGTGCTACAATCACGATTCTGGAGACCTAGCTCCTCAAAAAGTGTGTGGTGCTGGACGGTCCAGGAGTATTTTCTAGTTGTAGCGACGATTTTACCGAGTCATGGAGCTAGATGAATGAGCGGAGAGGAGTCTCGTATATCCCCAAACCTTTAAGCTTCGGCTGGCTTTGGTACTTAAATGCGTTACAATAAGTATGTTCCTTTAGCTGCACACATACAGAAACTTTTCGTCTTCGATCTATTTTAACGCGTAAAATTATCGCCAGTCAAGCTATCGTCTAGCATCTATGGACACGCAGCCCGCTAATCTATTACGACAGAACTAATTCAAATTTCGAACGCGAATTTTTAATGCAACTACGTACCTACTTCGCATGCTTGTATTATGTGCCATACCCTGTTAGTTGTCGCGCGAATGGGTTGAATGTAAACGGGGTTATAACAATCGTGATCCAGCTCGAAGGACCAAAATTTAAGAATGTTCTTTTGTCATTGAATTTTTTTTATTCTAAATTACTCTATTTCCTTTTAAAGACATTTTAAGTTTCTATATTAAGGTGTCTCTTTTCCTCATCAGTCGGCGCGGTGCGTGTCTTCGCTAGAGCTGACGTTCGCGGTCTCGGAACGTTTGGCCGACGGACGCGTGCTGGAACGAGAATTGAAACCGGGCGGGCGAGACGTGGCGGTTACAGAACGCAACAAGAAGGAATATCTCGAGCGGGTCGTGCGCTGGCGGGTGGAACGCGGTGTGGCCGACCAGACCGAGTGGCTGGTGCGGGGATTCCACGAGGTGAGTGTGACGTCACTACACGAGCGGGTGGAACGCGGCGTGGCCGACCAGACCGAGTGGCTGGTGCGGGGGTTCCATGAGGTGAGTGTGACGTCACTACACGAGCGGGTGGAACGCGGCGTGGCCGACCAGACCGAGTGGCTGGTGCGGGGGTTCCATGAGGTGAGTGTGACGTCACTACACGAGCGGGTGGAACGCGGCGTGGCCGACCAGACCGAGTGGCTGGTGCGGGGATTCCACGAGGTGAGTGTGACGTCACTACACGAGCGGGTGGAACGCGGCGTGGCCGACCAGACCGAGTGGCTGGTGCGGGGGTTCCATGAGGTGAGTGTGACGTCACTACACGAGCGGGTGGAACGCGGCGTGGCCGACCAGACCGAGTGGCTGGTGCGGGGGTTCCACGAGGTGAGTGTGACGTCACTACACGAGCGAGTATAACGCGGGCGCGTGGAACGCGGCGTGGCCGACCAGACCGAGTGGCTGGTGCGGGGGTTCCATGAGGTGAGTGTGACGTCACTACACGAGCGGGTGGAACGCGGCGTGGCCGACCAGACCGAGTGGCTGGTGCGGGGGTTCCATGAGGTGAGTGTGACGTCACTACACGAGCGGGTGGAACGGGGCGTGGCCGACCAGACCGAGTGGCTGGTGCGGGGGTTCCATGAGGTGAGTGTGACGTCACTACACGAGCGGGTGGAACGCGGCGTGGCCGACCAGACCGAGTGGCTGGTGCGGGGGTTCCACGAGGTGAGTGTGACGTCACTACACGAGCGGGTGGAACGCGGCGTGGCCGACCAGACCGAGTGGCTGGTGCGGGGGTTCCATGAGGTGAGTGTGACGTCACTACACGAGCGGGTGGAACGCGGCGTGGCCGACCAGACCGAGTGGCTGGTGCGGGGGTTCCACGAGGTGAGTGTGACGTCACTACACGAGCGGGTGGAACGCGGCGTGGCCGACCAGACCGAGTGGCTGGTGCGGGGGTTCCATGAGGTGAGTGTGACGTCACTACACGAGCGGGTGGAACGCGGCGTGGCCGACCAAACCGAGTGGCTGGTGCGGGGGTTCCACGAGGTGAGTGTGACGTCACTACACGAGCGGGTGGAACGCGGCGTGGCCGACCAGACCGAGTGGCTGGTGCGGGGGTTCCACGAGGTGAGTGTGACGTCACTACACGAGCGGGTGGAACGCGGCGTGGCCGACCAGACCGAGTGGCTGGTGCGGGGGTTCCACGAGGTGAGTGTGACGTCACTACACGAGCGAGTATAACGCGGGCGGGTGGAACGCGGCGTGGCCGACCAGACCGAGTGGCTGGTGCGGGGCTTCCATGAGGTGAGTGTGACGTCACTACACGAGCGGGTGGAACGCGGCGTGGCCGACCAGACCGAGTGGCTGGTGCGGGGCTTCCATGAGGTGAGTGTGACGTCACTACACGAGCGGGTGGAACGCGGCGTGGCCGACCAGACCGAGTGGCTGGTGCGGGGCTTCCATGAGGTGAGTGTGACGTCACTACACGAGCGGGTGGAACGCGGCGTGGCCGACCAGACCGAGTGGCTGGTGCGGGGGTTCCATGAGGTGAGTGTGACGTCACTACACGAGCGGGTGGAACGCGGCGTGGCCGACCAGACCGAGTGGCTGGTGCGGGGGTTCCACGAGGTGAGTGTGACGTCACTACACGAGCGGGTGGAACGCGGCGTGGCCGACCAGACCGAGTGGCTGGTGCGGGGGTTCCACGAGGTGAGTGTGACGTCACTACACGAGCGGGTGGAACGCGGCGTGGCCGACCAAACCGAGTGGCTGGTGCGGGGGTTCCACGAGGTGAGTGTGACGTCACTACACGAGCGGGTGGAACGCGGCGTGGCCGACCAGACCGAGTGGCTGGTGCGGGGGTTCCACGAGGTGAGTGTGACGTCACTACACGAGCGAGTATAACGCGGGCGGGTGGAACGCGGCGTGGCCGACCAGACCGAGTGGCTGGTGCGGGGCTTCCATGAGGTGAGTGTGACGTCACTACACGAGCGGGTGGAACGCGGCGTGGCCGACCAGACCGAGTGGCTGGTGCGGGGCTTCCATGAGGTGAGTGTGACGTCACCACATTAAAGGGCCAATTGGTTTCGTGAGGATTTTAACAACTCAACTATCCAGTTGCCATGGCTTTAGACATCCTAGCCATCTAACCTAGCAACAAGATAGTCATCTTACTGAATCGCAACTGTAGTTCAGGACAGTCGCGCATTCTAACTACCCTCATACTTACCAGGTAAAACAACTCCTTGATCAATCCCTCTATAATGGAGAGTTGGTACTCGAAGTACCTACATTAGCAGGCTAGAACTATTGATGCTACCAAAAAAAAAAGAAAAAAATTTTTAGTAATCCTCATTTACACAATTACAAATTAAAAAATCTAAGGGCTAATCAAGACCCTGCCTCAGAATAAGTCGATGCGACATTGTGTTGCACCAGCGCTGTTATTCTGGCAGGGCCTATTTAGTGACACTGTGTCAAGAAAAACTTTTACATGTCTTTTTTTGTGTCACTGACACAAAAAAAGACATGTAAAAGTTTTTCTTTATTACAAAGGATGTATGGGCCTAGCATCATTTGCTTTCAAGTAACAATAAATAAAAAACAGCAAAAAACATACAACAGCAAGCTAAGCCTTGCAAAACAAAGCGAAGCAATTCGTTCCATTTCAGCCAGAAAATACATTTATATTCAAAATATACAAGTTAATAACGCAACCGCCACCCAAACATAACACGAACCAGTATCGAATTCGATCTCGATACGCGTCAAATGTCAAGAAGTTTTGTATGAAAATTTGAACAGCTCCACAATGGACGTAACGAGAATTAAAAATGTTCCATACAAAACTTCTTGAAATTTGACGCAGATCGCAAAGCAACTATTCGAATTCGATATTGGTTCGTGCTAAGGGTACAGCAAACTCAGAACGACCAGTTTCCGAGTAACTGTCTATTCGGAAGCAAACTCATTTAAGTATGATGAAGCTACACATAATACGAAGTTTATTCGTATAAAACATGACCCATATTGTCACCAACCAAAAGGACACCGAAGTGTGATCGGTCTTCAGCCGATAAGTATTCTTAGCACTATTATTATTGTGTAACTAGCTAAACTTCATATTTGTACACAGTATATAGAATAGGAAGGAAGGCTTGGCGTTGGCCGTTGCTAACCCAAACATTCCCGGGTTAAACCCAAACATTTATTAAACATTCCTATTAATTAACATAACATTATTTTTTAAACTATTAAGTAATGTATGTTTGTTCGGGACAAACATACATACATACATTTCAAGCTAAATAAAAGCTTTTAAAAAGATGGCGCACATATGCGAAAGTACAATGCCAGAAGTTCTATAGAGGTTTAACCCACCCGATAAAATTGGTGTACACGAATGCGATAAATGACATTTGATAGCTGTAATATTAGGAATCAAAATAGTAAAGTTGTAAATTATCTAGAAGCTGTGGTTATTGAATAATATACTAACAAAGAGTACAATTGTCATACGTTTCTCGAGCTGCAATTTGAGCAGAAAATTGGAATTGCTATAAATTATTAATTAGGCGCTTTCATAATTTTAATGAATAGATAGTTTGCTAGGTACCTATTCGTCTGTTTTTCGATTGTTATCAGTCTGTCAGGGTTTCTGAGTTTATTCGTTACAGGCAAACATTCAAATCGTTCTCTTCATAGTTTAAATAATTGTAATAATAACGAATATGAAATATAGGTATATATTCGCTACATGAGATATATTTTATATTTGTCAGTTATATTTTGTATTAGTAAAATAAAGTAATCATCATCAGCCTATCAATGTCCCCACTGCTGGGGCACAGGCCTTCCCTATGGATGGAATAGAGAGATTGGGCCATGACCCATCACGCGGGCCCAGTGCGGTTTGATGGGTGCTAACGACTACAGATGCAGCCGGGGCCAACGGCCTAACGTGCCTTCCGAAGCACGTAGGAGCTCGAGATAGTAAATTTTTGGTCACCCATCCAATGACCGACCACTGCGAAAGTTGCTTTACTTTAACGATCGCAGCCAAACGCGCTAAACACTTGCACCATCGAGAATAAAGTAATAATATAGGTATAACAATACAGTAATTTTTCTATAACATACATAATAGGGGTGATGACGGGGTACAGTAAACGAAATTCTATTTAGTCCGTCAGTTAGATGATCAAAAAATAATGGACACGTATTTTTTTCTTTGGGCAATCAACCAAAAAATGACAAAGTTATAGCGCGTCAAAGTTTGGGAGTAGGGGCTCGTCACTTTTGAGTGAATTTTCACTTATAAGTGTACTCAAACGTGACGTCATGCGACTTTTCAAATCAATATATCTCTACAATGTTTATATTATGTGAAAAAAGAAGAAATACGTGTCCAATACTTTTTGATAATCTACCTGATAAAAAAAGAAAAAAAAATAGTCATCATCCCTTGTGCATAAATATTTGAAATTTCCCTATCCCGCAATCCCGCTTAAGACGCGTTTTTGGTTGAATCCCTGTGAAATCGTCTTAAACGGGTTTTGCTGTATTTTTTTGTATATAAAAAATTACAAAGCCATATTTATGCTATACATGCTATATTACCACGGCATAAATAAAATAACAGTAAGGCAGCCTTTCTCCGCAATCGTATCGTCATAGTCAAATTTTTGTATGGAAGGAGCCAGTTCATTTACTTCCGGTACCACCCCCCCCCCCCCCCCCCCGCTGCTTAGTTTTCATAGAAACTCTGTAGACTCGATACAGCCTACGAAGCTGTCAAAGTTCCTGCTTTTGGGTCGTAGTCATATTTCGTATTTTAATGAATACAAGAATAACTTATTTTTATTTTATATTTCTCTGACAAAGTAACACTATAATTAAGTAAAAGGTTATTGAATGACAATAACAGTAAAAACAATGCGGTTCTTTCAGAGCTGGAGATTGTACTAGTTTACAAAACCTGTGTTACAACCCCCAGGCTCAAAACCTCTGAAAACCCGTTTGCTTGCTAGAGTTTTTTTTGCATAATATAATGTTTGAACCAGTATCGCCGTTTTACGCCGTTTTTAAGCTACTTCAACACGCAAAGTGTAAAAAAAACTGATCTTTTGTCTATATCGCTTTGATTTACTCCTAGAGCTTATTTTTACTCACACATGTGCATAAAACCCTTGCAACCTCGTTTTTTTGTCAATTCATGTCCATACCAAACGAACTTATACCAATAAGTAAACGTTATTTCACTGCGAAATTGCGTTTTAAATATTCCACTGCCGAAACACCAATCGCCGTTTACGCTCGCGGTAAATATCGGCCTAGCCTCTGACCGTGACCTTACCAACCAAGCGATAAGTGTTGTGCATACAAAGTTACCACGTGACATAACCAAGCAACTCGCCGTAATACGAATTATTTCCGCTAGTCTTGCGAAAACCGTTGTTTTCGATTTATCAGCGGTTGTGGGCTATTGACCATGCGCGTTTACGCAATACGCCTCGATAATTATTATTATCGTCATTACATTGATAAACAATAAATAATTGTTGAAACATTGTAAATTAACTTTTACTTGCTGAAGGGGTATTGTTAAATTTCCGCATAGCTACATTGCTCATTAAACGAAACTGGTTTTAAAGCAGTTTTTGGTGTTTTGTCCCTTTGAGATAATTCTTTTCGATATTAAGATTCTTATTCCAAGAGTAAAGCTATTTGTATTTATCATGAAAAATTCTCTATAACACCAACTACATTCTTACTCCATATTAATATTAAAAAAAATGTCTTTCTGTATCTGTATGTTACCTCTTCACACTGAAACCACCGAACCGGTGTATAGATAGTTGTTAAATTGGGTATATAGATAGTTTTAGTCCCGGGAAACAACATAGGATAGTTTTTATCCCAAAAATCATCCTTCAATGGGGTGAAAAGCGGCGTAGTATAGCGCGATTGCATTAGCAGCGTCTTGTAGCGATAACAAAAATGAATTGACGAATGTAAAGGGAACGAATTTTAATTAAAAGAAGTCACGTAGGTAGTACGTAGTAGTATCATGATTTCTGTAATGTAAATTAATCAAACGCTGCCAGTTTCTTCGGAACCTTGCCTAAAGGGACTTCTTTTAATAATATACTGTAGTTTGAAATTATATTTTTTAAGGTTTTTGGTTTTATGTTCATTGCTCCTGTATATCTCTCAATAACGAATAAAAGTATATACACAAATAACATCAAATTGTCAAAGTAGTCAATAAATAGATTAGAAGAATAATATTCTAACAGCAAATGTTCTTAAAGAGACTTCAAATAATAAACTAAAAATTAATCAAATTGACTTTATTCATCAGGTGGTGGACCCTCGATTGGTGGCAGCTTTCGACGCGCGCGAACTGGAGCTGGTGATAGCTGGCGCGCCAGAGCTGGACGTGGCTGACTGGCGTGCCAACACCGAGTACCGCGGCGGGTACCACGACGCGCACCCCGTCATCGTGTGGTTCTGGCAGGCCATCGACAGGTGACTGGCACTCTCTTAACATATTTATTTATTTGCAAGAAAAGTTGTACAAAAGGTGGTACATTATTTGTTGAGACCCGCACAATTCACCAGAATCCGGCATACAAATTTAATTAATATCTAAAAATAAAAGTGCACTATCTATAAGCCGTCAAAAACCAAGTCATAGTCATAGGCATATCGTTAGGGTCCTTTAAGAGAGGTGTGAAGAAGCACTTTTGCAGGCCGGCAAAGTGTAGCAGTTTATAACTGCTGTACCAGCTATCTTCGTTTGGACTTTATCACCACTTAACATCAGATGGGGGAGAGTCGTTTGCCTACCTCGCAATTAAAAAAAATAAAAAGGGTGACGATTCTGGTTCACAAGAGGAGATTCAAATTGAACAACTTATAACATACTAATTCCTTTTCTTCAATTTGATCGGTTTTGATTATCAGACTGTTTAAACCGCGTGCTATTTAGCAGTTGATGAACTTAAAATCGCCTCGTGTGAACCTGGTAGGTATAAGATAACCAAAAAATCGCGTCTCAATAAAGGAACAACAGTTTCGCTTTTTGACACAGTTCTTGTTACTAAAATATACAATACAAATTCACAGAATACTTAACAAAAAGGTTACACAATATATATTTGTGATATTGTTTAAATAGCAATAAATTGTGTCAAAAATCAAACTTACTGAATCACGATTATTACTTAACAGAATTGACGCCCTGCTCTACGGTTATAATTGGCGCGCCATTGCGAAGTATTAATAATGCGCATCAATATTGTCTACCCAAGACTTCGTTAAATTACATGTTATATGATTCATTTATGGGTTTCCATTATGAAAAAAAAAAGCTATCACACATAGTCGGATTTCAAGTATGCAACTAGTTATCATTGAGCTACCAAATAACAAATCCACAAGCACTTGTTTTCTCGATTAACTGACATCAAGAATGTTAATCTGTTATACACCTAAAACTAAAGCGCATGTTCTTAAACTTTTGGCAATGACTGGCCTCTCTCAGTAAATATATTAATTGGGATACTAAAAATATCACGTGCGCCGTTGCCTTCCCTGACCCAATCCCCTACACCGTAGACCTTACTCTCCGACAAAAAAATACACCTACAAATATTGACTTTAAAGTGGAGATTATTTCTCCAGACGGACGTTACAATTCGGAAATCCGCATGCAATATCTCTCTTGTCCCGTCTCTCAAAAATATATTTCGAGTAAAAACCAGCCTAAAAACTTCTTTACTCATACATAACTTGCACTAAAAAAATACTTTTACAATAACATTTAAAACTGATTACAGGTTCAGCAACGAGCAACGTCTCAGGCTAGTCCAGTTCGTGACAGGCACTTCTTCAATACCTTACGAAGGGTTCTCTGCGTTGCGAGGCTCTACGGGTCCGCGCCGTTTCTGCATCGAGCGATGGGGCCGCGTCGAGTCCCTACCACGAGCACACACCTGCTTCAACCGCCTAGACCTACCACCCTACCCTACGCCCCAGCTACTGCACGAGAAATTATTACTCGCTGTAGAAGAAACAAACACATTTGGCATCGAGTAACCTCCAAAATACACGAAGAGTATTAGGCGGTTACGAATAAACGCGCTAATTAAACGACCATTCATTTATTTATTTAACTAAAATGTTCACTCGTTGACTAAAACATTTCACCAGATGTAAATAATCACTATTAAAGTATCGTTGTCAATGTAAATAAATTAGTCAATCGATAAGGTAGCCGACGAACAAAGATAGTTTTATGTTATAAATAAATACTATATTGATGTAGATGTGCCTCTAGATGTTTACTCAAGGAGCATTATCTATTTGTACTTTATATTAATGCTTTTATTGTGTAAGTGAAGTATATTGTGGCTGTGACATGGGACTCGAGTCTCGTATTTAGATATACATACTACGCTTTACGTCACTAATTTATGATTTACGAGTATTTAACCATCCAACTCTATACCTAATAGTTAATAAATTGCTATAGTTATTATCGCTTATCAAATGACTTAACAGTTGTCATCACTTGATGATTTTATTGAAATCATTTTGTAATACATAATTCTTAATTTTATTCAAGATTATGAAAATATCTTCAATTACAATCAAAACTAGTCAGCTACTTTAATAATAACCATTATTAGCTCTATATACATTTTTGTATCTAAGTTGTTTTGAAAATAATATCCCAACTAATTTTAATTATTTATCACTACATTATGTATAGCTTTTGTACTGATTTATGTGTATTAAAAATACATAATTATTATTGTATTGTTCTAAATCAAATGAAAGCAAAGAATGGAAATTCGATAATACAAGAACATCCAACATTGTTTACCTATAAAAAAATAAAATTCTACTTTATTAATGTCCAAGTCATTTCCCATTCTTTATTCAATGAAAATAATCTTATTTTATCAATTAATGCGAGCCTTAGTTGATAGAAGTCCTATTTTCAGGTACCTATTACATTTGTTACTATGTACCCTATATATTAACTTAACAAAATGAATCCTTTTCTAAAAGTATTAAATTTCATTAGGAAATGCAAAGTTAAAATTGTAGATGTATTATTTATTCTGTTTAAGTAATCTGTACACCAATGTGTAAGTTTACTATATTTTAAGTAAGTTAAAATAGTTTTATTATGTTGTTCATTAACTTTTTGTGTATGTACTGTTTTATTGTGTAAATTTTTATTTGTTTTGTGCAAGTGATGAAATGTGTCAATACAAAATATTAATTACCTATGGTTTGTTTTATTAATATCTCCATCATTAAGTTACCAGCAACCAGTTTGCATTGCAACCACAAGTATGAAATTTAAATATTATAATGATACTAAAAATCCATTCAATATTATAGGCAAATACTGTACATTCACAGAACCACTATGAAACAAATCCCAGGGAAGGAATTGGGATGTGAAGCATGAGGACAGGATATTTTTAGAGACCAGTAAATAATGAAGAAAATTCACACATACAAAATGTTTATTTTTCAAGAAGTTTGTGTAACAACAAAAATCAACCTTGTTAAGACCTTAAATTTTAAACATATAACTATTTACATTTCCCAAAGTCTGCATTTGTCAACACAAACTTAAGATATAAAATGCAACAAGGGTTATTTTTTTCTCACAATCTACTCTAAGTTGTGACGGAGTTAATTCATTATAGTATGTCACAGTCTGTAAACTTTAAAATTATTCGATCTTATTAAAAGCTGTGATTACATTATGATAAAAGCTACTGTTATGATAGATTCATAATATGCAATGTTGTAGCTATGTGTACTGAAAATTAAAACTCTTAAAAATATCCTCCCCTCTTATACACATTGCTCTGCAAATGAGCATTAGGAGCTTTTCATGAGAATTATTAAAAGCGAACCCAACAATGTTAATTTGCAGATTTGAAGACAGTCCATGTCAAAATCTACAAATGAAATTGTAATATAATACACGCATGTGTAAATATTTTGTATATTTAGTTCAAAAATAACGGTAATACAATATTCATTTGTATTCTATCATGTGGATTAGAGCTTATGCTCACTGTGAGTTTAGCCGAGGGAGGGGAAATCCTTGCTGTCGTCCACCTTCGGCGGAGCCACCTGCGGGCGAGACACGGGGCGCTCCTCCGGCGGTGCCTCCTCACGTGGTGGGCCCCGGCCCCGACCGCGCCCGCGCCCGCGGCCTCGCCCGCCCGTGCCGCCGCGCCTGGTCGTATCGTTGAACGTGAACTCGATGCCCAGCACGCGCTTCTGGCGTCCGACGCGCTGAGGATAGTCAGCGATATCATATTCTTCATCAGAGTCGTCATCCTCACCACCCTCTTTTTTCTTCTCCAACATTACCAAGTTCTTCCACTGACTCAGGTCCTCACCTTCACCAGCCTTACGCAAGTTGTACTGCGGCGCGGTGCGCTGAGCGTTCCGCAGCGCCTTGTACTCGTCCAGCGTGAGCTCGCGCGGCTCCTCCTCGGCGGGCGCGGTCTTCTCGGCCTCCGGCTGCTGCCCGTCGCCTGCTCCAGCGCCCACCGGTTCGGGCGCCTTCTCCTCCACCACTTCACCCTCCGACCCAGTTTTGTTCAGCTCGTCGAGATCGTCCTTCAGAGTACCCCAGTTGTGAGGGCCGCCACCTTCACGCTTGTCCACAGGCTTCACTCCAGTCTTGTCGGAACCGGACCTTCTGTCAAATTCACGCTTGCCTCGGCTGTCGTACGGACGCGTCCCGCGCGGTCCGTCGCGTTCACGAGTGTCTCGCGGCCTCGGTCCGCGGCGTTCACCTCCCTCCGGATTGTCGGCGAAGTTGCGCCGCTCGAAGTTAGGCCTGCGGTCGCTAAACTCACGCCTAGGGGGTCGGGGTGCTCCGTCCTTGTTTTCGACGGCACCATTCTGCGGCCTGTTTTCACGGCGGCGCGGTGGCGGAGCTTCCGCATTGCGGTCATTCGTTCGAGCAGGGCCCTTGCTCTTTTGTTGATCGCCGCTCTTGTTATCCTGAGTTTTCACATTTTGGGTTTCCTTGATACCTTTCCTGGCAGTAATTACACCACTTTTAGGTTTGGCCTCTGGCTTACCCTTATTTTCTTTCTCAGCCTCTTTGGTCTTCTTTTTAAGCTCTTTCGCTTGCTCTCGCGCTTTTAACGCATCAAGAGGATCGGACTCATCGTCCAAAAAAAGAGCATATCTGTTATTTACCCCCACACCGTAGGAATTTTCCATTGTGATCCCCTTGATGATTTAATCACACAAAAACTGGATGTTAGTGGATAACTTTCCGCACTTTAGTAAGGCGACATTTTGTTCTGTTTTATTGATTTCATTTAATATGGCGGATCAACGCGAAACACACGGTACGCCATATGACGAAAGGAATAGACAAAAGAATGAAATGAAAATGGCGGACTTAACTTTTTCTTTATGTATGGGGTTGCGTTCCGTAGATACATTCCGTGTATAAAGGCAGAACTAGACTTGTCCGTCGTGTTGTGTTGCGACCATAGACATAGTATCTATTTTGCGACAAAAATTTGCTATACTTTTGGCCCTGCGGTGTTATCTGATTCAAAACAACCTTTTAGGGGTTTAAACTACAGGGCACTTCTAGTATGTATAACCTACTAGAAGTGCCCTGTAGTTTCACCCGCATTCATTTGAAGAAATATGTTATAGTGGGTCACTCTTAAAAGGTAGACATATTATATACTGTCGTGGACGTTTTTTATAGAACTTTTAAAGGAGAACAATTCCGTCCTACGTATATTTTTTGTGTAACTTTTACCGTTTAGGCAGCGCACACAACATTTTTCACTGTTTCTCCGCATCTTCTGGTTATATCTTTATGCTATATAGCTATATAAGAATTATTCAAATTGAACTAAAATTAATATAGCACCTGAAAAATCAAAAGGCAAACCAAGCCAACCCAAGCAGTAAATAGCAACTCAGATCTATCAATACGTAGGGCACTGACTTCAAATTATTTTTTACTTTATATGCACGTTTAAATGGAGATATAAGTAAAGAATATGCATCATTTCTTCTTTTTAGTCGTTTAGTTTTTATGAAGTTGGTTTTTATTTTTGTTAAAAATGTTTGTATTTTACATTTTTAATAAGCCAAAACAAAATCAACCCCTTAAGTACAGTTTGTCTATAAAGTCGTGACATGAATGTTTGAGGAACTAACATTATTCATGTCTCTGGCAACACCAAACTTATGTACACCAGCTGTAGGGATGTCGAAAGTTGAAAAAAATATCGATATATCGATACATCGATATTTTAAAAAATATCAATATCGGCTTCGATATATCGCGAAAAAAACATCGATATATCGGACCAATTTTCCCAAAACTATATTTAGGTCAGCCTAGCACAGTAATAATAGTTCAATACAAATTTTAATTAAAGAAAGAATTATCAAAGTACCAAATTGCCGCTACACTACATGACAGTACAGTATCTCACGAAATATGACACGCGGAATAATAATGGAACGAAAATTATTTCCTTAAAAATAGACTACTTTCGAATGATGAAAATGATTGCAGGGCCTCTCAGGTGCCATCTTTCGTAAACAAGACTAGACATTCACACACTTCCACAGAATATAATGGAAATCAGCACAACCAATTCACCAGCGAAACAGATTTACAAATAATAGACAATACTAAATACAGCACAGATCATAGATATGTTGAATATCATAAATCTGAGATCCAGTTACGATTTTTTCAGATACGAATTTAGTTAGATCGTGATATGCCGCTAATAATTAAAAAAATATCGTTTTATGATACGAATTTCGATGTTGGTTATTTTTTATCGATATATCAAATCAAAATATATCGGCAAAAAATATCGATATATTTTCAACAAGCCTAATCAGCTGTCATCGAGTTTCAGTTGTGGAACAGTTTTCCTTCTGTATTGTTTGGATTAAACTGTAAGATGAAACTACAGTTTGTCTATAAAGTCGTGACATTAAATGATGGCGCCACTAGTATGCATGTAGCAACCCTATACAGTCGAACCAAAATGATTTTGATACTAGCAGTTCATTCAAGTAAAATAGGTAATTAATAAGACACACTATACATTCGTATTTTGTTTCCGTTTTATATATAGTAGGTACCTATGCTTATAAAAAGTTTAGCCAAGCATATTTAATTGAATCGGAATAAAATTATTATAGATAAAATAGTACTTTATAGTGTAAAACTGTGTAATGTTGGTGATTACCGCTGAGGTGCCATTGAGACCAGAGCCGTTAGGTAATCATCAATACACACAAGTATACGACGTTTTTTAACACACTTGTTAAGAAAACTAAAATACTAAAAATCATTTTATAGTTAGTAAAATTAGTGATAGGTATCTTCACTAAAAGCATCTGGCCATGGTTCTTTATGTAACCATTTCTTTCTTTGGTCGGCCTTGCCTGTTTTCCCAGGAGTTTCAAACTTTCCATCATTCTTAAAACCTTCGTTGACTATCCGACTCTCTGATTTTCCTGAAAAAAAGTAAAAAAATATGTAACGGTATAGAAACAATAACTTATTGACATGAAGCAATTAATTCAAAATTGGTAGAAAACCTGACCGAGTTGAACCATAATAAGGTATCAAAAGAAATGGTCGTACTACAATATTACCTATTTACAATGTCAATCTAACCTAAAAATGTGCAATGTAAACAATGCCTTTTTTGGTCTCAAAATCGTAAAATGAGTAAATTTGTAACTTCAGGCAGATTACAAACAAATAGTTACACGATTACATACCCGTCATAGATGCTGTTCGCCCATAAACATCATCCAAATCCCACAAAATTCGTCTAGCTTGGTAGTCTTCGAAACATCGCTAGAAAACTTTAAATATCACTTCCCGCGTGCCACTCCGATTTACTTTACTCATTTTTATACCTTTCTGCGTAGTTTCGTCTTAATTTATAACAATTTATTCCAAACAATAAAAAATATAAAAGGAAAACTGTTCCACAACTGAAACTCGATGACAGCTGATGTACATAAGTTTGGTGTTGCCAGACACATGAATAATGTTAGTTCCTCAAACATTCATTCACTTTGAGTCGGTCAAAAATGAACACTATGTAAGAAATAATTTTGAATCATCAAATGAGCACGAGACCATTTTTTAAGAAAAATACTATTTTGTATGAAAATAAACATATTTTTGCCGAAAATTTTATGAAGTGTAAGTTCATAAAGTTTAGTGTAAACTTCTTTAGTATCGTTGTGACTTGAGATTCGATGAAACGGTAGTTGAGTATTTGACACAAGACTGGTATATGTAATTTTAACAGTTTCTTTACAAGACAAATGGTTGGATGCTTGTGGTCGAGGCAACTGGTTGGTGGTTCGAAACCTGAGTTCGGTTGTTCATAAAAATTGTTTTATTCTTTTTACTAAATAAAGCTATTATTTATTTTTCGAAACAATTTAAGTACAGAATATTTTATTTTGCTCAGTATTTTACAATGATGCGATTAGCCCACGTGTTTAACCTGACGCGAGTTTAACATTTTTTACTCTTACAAAAAAAAGTGTACAACGCCGCCAAAGACGTTTTCTTTTCAAAAAATGTTCTAGTAGAAAACCCTGAATAGTTAAGTATTTAACGTTTTGGTAGGGACTTACTGAAGTAGTTGAATTACACGGCACTGGTTTTTCTAATCAACTCTTACCTTCCTAATGTTCGCATATTTTGTTACAGTAATTTTTAGTGAATAAATATTTCAAAAAAAAAACCAAGATAAAGAAAAATCCTATACAATAAACGTTTATTTCCCGTTTTGTGCTCTATATTAATAACGCCAACAAATACCTAGACGCTTGAAATATTCACAGACTATTTAGTTGTATATTTTCTTTATAAATAAATAATCAAAAAAGTATTAATAGAATATTTAAGGAGGGCTCCCATACAACAGACACGATTTTATGCGGTTTTTTTCTCGATATTTTAATATAATGTCTAATTTTGTATAGAGTGAGTGAGTCCGACTCGCACTTGGCCGGTTTTTCTAATCAATGTATACCTTCCAATTAAATAAAACTAGTTTTTACGGGTTAATGCACGAAAACTTTATTTATTTATTGACGTTTCGCAGCCTTTTCAGGTCTGCATCGTCAGAATAATGATTTTATTTAAAATTGTCGAGCTACCTTCGAAAGAATTATATTGTGCGTTCGGTTATTTCATTGGAAGATTTTTAAAATTTTATTGTCTATGTATGAATTTATTATTTAATTTACTTAATAAAGTATTTTATTTAAAATTCTTGTTTGTAATTTTGAGTTTATTTATTTGACCCTAACTACCGTAAACTACCACCGGTTCCAAAATTGGGAGACCTTCCTGAGAAGAACCGGCGAAACAAACTCAAGAGAGGCTTTCTATCTCCTTCTTATGTTAAATTATGCAAACAAAAAGAACTAATAGCATCTGATGGTCTTGCAGTGTGTGCTCGGGGTTGGGATTTTATCTCCTGTATAATAGGTTCCCAAGCTGGTGGTATATACCAACCATCTTCCCTATTGAAATTTGGATATTTTTTAATCTCAATAGCCTCGCGCATCATTCGAGGAACGAACCGCCGCTCAGCTTCGTTCCTATTATACAGGAGATAAAATCCCAACCCCGAGCACACACTGCAAGACCATCAGATGCTATTAGTTCTTTTTGTTTGCATAATTTAACATAAGAAGGAGATAGAAAGCCTCTCTTGAGTTTGTTTCGCCGGTTCTTCTCAGGAAGGTCTCCCAATTTTGGAACCGGTGGTAGTTTACGGTAGTTAGGGTCAAATAAATAAACTCAAAATTACAAACAAGAATTTTAAATAAAATACTTTATTAAGTAAATTAAATAATAAATTCATACATAGACAATAAAATTTTAAAAATCTTCCAATGAAATAACCGAACGCACAATATAATTCTTTCGAAGGTAGCTCGACAATTTTAAATAAAATCATTATTCTGACGATGCAGACCTGAAAAGGCTGCGAAACGTCAATAAATAAATAAAGTTTTCGTGCATTAACCCGTAAAAACTAGTTTTATTTAATGAGTGATGTGCGTGAAAACCTAAGAAACAAATACCTTCCAATTGTTTGAAAATTATAGTACAGTGTTATTCACTGTACGAAAAAATATTCGAAAAAATAAAACCTTAGATAAATAAAGAAGGTACTTAACACAAGAAATAAAAAAAAAGTAGTTGATAACAGCAACCTTATCACGAACCATTATCAAATTCGATTAGTTTGCAAGTGCTAAATGTCAATGTCAAATTTTGTAAGGAAACTTATAACAGCAGCGCCACCAAGTACGTAAAGAGAACTAAAAATCAGTACACATTGAAAATGACATTTCGGACTCGCAAACGTTACGAATTCGATATTGGTTCGTGCAGATAGATACGCCAAATTGGTTGGTAATATTCTTATATTATATAAATACTAGCTGTGCCCCGCGGGTTTACCTGCGGTTTATTAGGGACATTTACCCGCCTAGTTGTAATCCAGGGTATCAGCTAACTCCATACCAAATTTTATTAAAATCACTCCAGCCGTTTAGAAGTGAACAAGTAACAAACATACACACCCACACAAACTTTCGCCTTTATAATATTAGTGTGATGAAGAGAGAAAGCCAGAGTGCAGGAACTTTGACAGCTCCGTCATCGTATCGCATCGTCAAAGTTTCTATGAAAATTAAGCAGCACCCCTACCGGACGTAAGAACAAACTGGCTCCTGCCATACAAAATTTGACGATGAGCATACGATTACGGATCTGTCAAAGTTCGTGTTTGGGACTCTGATTGACTGACTTATCAACGCCCAGACTAAGTCATTGGACGTAGAGAGTTGAATTTTAAATCAGGTATTGTCTTTATGACGTATTTTTTGTGGTTTCATCGCGATCGACCGCGATAGCGGTGAGCCGCGATGAAACCGCGTTAAGCGGTTGGACCGCTCAGAGGCGCGTTTCCCATAAATTGACTCACCGGCGGCTCGCCGCAGACTAAACTGCCCATGAATCGCCAGAGCGTATAAACAAGATAGCGGTCAGACGCGAAGCATGCAGTAGCTCTCCATTGGGGCGCTTTGCAGACGACGGGGCTGGGCGGGCCGGTCAATTTCGCCGCGAATAATAGCACAAAGTGAATCCTATACTACAAACGCACACAGAGGGCAAAAAGACCGCGCCGCAGGTGCGGGCAGTGGCGGCGCGGCATGTCTGCGGCTGCCCGCCGTGGATCATACAAACCAGTTTATATGCGGCGGCGCGGGGCGGTCAGCTCAGTCCGCGCCACGCGCTTTTTAGTAATGGAGTATTCACTAGAACGAACGTCCTGAACTGACCGCCTCTGCCCGTCGTGTGCTTTGTGTACGCGGCGCGGGCAGCCGCAGACATCGACGGGCAGACGCGGTCTTTATTGTTTCGCGGACAAAATGCCCGCCCCGCCCCGTCGTCTGCTCAACGCCTTAACCGCCGCGGTTGAAATTTTGTGGCGGTTATTGCATACAATCACGGGCGGTTGCATATTTTTGAACTGGCAAAGCGGCTAGCCGCGCAGGTTGCCGCCCCTGCGGTTAACCGCTAGTACGTAGGAGCGCGTGCGCTGTGATGCGCTATGATACTTATGTCCGATCAGCCCCTCTAGCATGACCACCGAAACGGGATATGATAAAGCGATATATCGTCATTAACTGTCAGACTACAGTGGAGTTTGACAGTAGTCTGACAGTTAATTTCGATATATCGCTTTATCATATCCCGTTTCGGTGGTAATGCTAGATGGGCTAATATCGTTATCTGACGCCGATCGATAGCCGATAAGTTGGACGTAGTTACGCGAAAACGTTCCAACCCACAAGTCACTCGAAAATGAGTTACCATAACCAGGGTACTATTTTTGACATATTACATCATGTGCACACAAAGATGCTAGTATTTTTAGGTTAGTTTCATCAATAAAGTTTAACCCAAATGTTCCAACCCACCATTATGCCAAGGACGTGTACTCAAAATAAAGTAAAAACATTACATGCATACTGAAACATATTGTTAAAAACTCTTAATAGAATAACATATCGTTATAATGTTCCACTTGTCTTGGAACATTATACTAAATTCATAAAACGCACATTTAATGGTTTCTTAAATGATCCATGTGGGTTGGAACGTTTTTGCAAAATCTTTATACATTTTTTATTTCTGCAAAAATGTTCCATGTAATTTGAAACCTTTTAGATTAATCCATACTGTTTTTTTAAGCTGCGAACACTGTTCTAAATAAATTGAAACCTTTTATTATAATATATTATTTTCTAATTTTTTGCTATAAACAATCCACATATACTTGATCCATTTTTGCTATTAAGTATGTTCTAGAGAATAAGATATTTTTTACCAAAATAAATAACTATGGTATATTTGGACGTAGTAACGAGAAAATGATCCAACCCACAGCAACCCCAATTTGAGATAAACGCAATTTACACACTTTTTCCCTGTAATTATTTCAGGCAAATACTATTGGTTTAACTATGGAATGCCAAACTGATTATTGAATGATATGCATATTTTTTGTAAATACATAATACAAGGGGCATATAAATAGGTAAAACGAGTTTGAAATGTTTTTGCTAAATTAATTTTGTATGAACCTTGTTAAATAGCAATTATGCATAAACTTTCCAAAACGAATTTAAGTGTATTATTTTATAAAAATAAACCAAAAAGAAATATGTAAAATAATAAATAACAATGAGGAACATACAAAAACAACAAAAAAAATATTTGAAAATGTATTACAAAAAAATAGAACGTGATCTTTTGAGTTTAGAACCTATGCCAAAAATTTGCTGATATGGTTCCAAAAGTTATCAAAAACTTATATTATAAACATTCAATTTTCATCATCGTATTCTATGATCTCGAAGTCCGGAACTCCACCAAACCCATCAACATCATCAGTGCTTCTTCAGAACTTTGAAGCGTTCTATAAAATTGAAGGCAATCCTCGGGTATGTAGTGGTACATGGATTGTAAGTCCACTAATTTCGCTGGAGCAATCGGTTTGTCGTTAGGCCACAATAAGCAAAAATCAGATTCTTTTATGTATTGTAGTTCTCGTTTTATTCTTTTATTAATTTTCAACTCATTGAAATCGTCTTCCATCGTAGACCGCATAAAAATAGAAAAAATTATATCTTTATCCAACTTAATTTCTTTTGTATGTAGCCAACTAACTTTAGATGAGTCTGTAAACTTCTTCCTATTGATAATCTTCTTTTCCAGTTTAGTTGTACTATAAAATCAGTCTTTGTCATTTTGTAAACTTGAAGAGGTTTAACTTTTTTACTTAGTTCTACAATAGTGGTATCCATAGTGCATCTAATGATACTGGGCATTGTTATGTATTGGTAGAAGGAGAGGTAGGAAGAGGTGCACAGGAAGTGGATTGCCTTCTGTTCTGAAGAAGCACTGATGATGTTGATGGGTTTGGTGGAGTTCCGGACTTCGAGATCATAGAATACGATGATGAAAATTGAATGTTTATAATATAAGTTTTTGATAACTTTTGGAACCAAATCAGCAAATTGGCATAGGTTCAAAGCTCAAAAGATCACGTTCTATTTTTTTTGTAATACATTTTCAAATTTTTGTTGTTTTTGTATGTTCCTCATTGTTATTTATTATTTTACATATTTATTTTAGATATATTTATAAAATAATACACTTAAATTCGTTCTGGAACGTTTATGCATAATTGCTATTTAACAAGGTTCATACAAAATTAAATTTAGCGAAAACGTTTCAAACTCGTTTTACCTATTTATATGCCCCTTGTATTATGTATTTACAAAAAATATGCATATCATTCAATAACCAATTTGGCATTCCACAGTAACACCAATAGTATTTGCCTGAAATAATTACAGGGAAAAAGTGTACCGCTAAAACACAAAATTGCGTTTATCTCAAAATGGGGTCGCTGTGGGTTGGAACGTTTTCGCGTAACTACGTCCAGTTGGTGACACCATCGGATGCCCAATCCCTAATTTCCATTAAGTTGCCGGTTTAATATAAATTGTAAACTTTGCATCCCCATTCAATGCTAATCAAATTAATGATAGGACTAAGTGGATGAAAAGTTTCGGATGCCCGTGAGCTGTTGATTTGTATTATGACGTCATTTTGACTATCGTCAAATGGTGCAAGTGCAACTGTGCAACCCATAAGTTAAAGACAGTTGGTTAACTCACGCTCAGTACTTTTAAGTTTTGTTATTTCAATATTCTTAGAAATAAAAGTTAATAACGACACTTAGGAAGCCATATATTTTAAAATACAGAAAAAATTTAACTATTAAACACGTCATGGAAAAATATCGTATAATGTACATACAAAATAAAAAATAATGGAAGAGGTACAAAGTTAAATCTATATCAATTTACTTCTTGCATGGATCGCATTTTTTAGCACTACCACCACCAGAGGCTCCTCCCAAGCAGGTCTCCATCAACAGGCCACAGACAAGGTAAGGATCACAATCTCCAGCTGGCCTACGATCTTCCATGAACCCTTTGCCTTTTTTCTTGATGTTCCTTTGTAGTCGAATAGAAGCTTTTCTGTTGGCTATCCCCCATGAGAATTTATCAAATGGTGCTGTTTCAAATTTTCCAGATAGTCTCATCCTATTGGTGGCTTCATCGTTACCATAGTTTTTCATGTGTTTCATGTGGTTTGCCTCCAACCGTTTAATACACTCTTCTATAAACTGATAGCCACCATCGGACCGCATTCGTTTTGTACTGAAATTATGATGCATTCCTACACCAGGATGCAACATCCCCATAGGTTTCGGGTGGTAAGTGATATCCACACCGTAATCTTCAGCTACTCGTGACATGAGAAACCTGGACATCCACATATCATCGGGGCCCTTCATCCCAACAGAAGTTCCGATCTGCCATTCCCAACACCCAAACATGACCTCGGCATTAGTTCCCTCAAAATCAAGACCAGCATAAAGGCAACATCTTGCGTGAGCCTCAGAAATATCTCTCCCTGCAATATACTTCGCTCCTACTCCACAGTATGAATATTGGTATTTAACTGCGGGAAAACCACCACCCTTAGGCCAGCCCAGGCCCCAGCCGTCTACATCTAGCATAGTGTATTCCTGTTCCAACCCAAACCAAGGTTCATCGGCTCTATGCATTTCACAAAGTTTATTGCAAAAATTCCTATGATTTGTAGCTGCAGGCTTACCACTCCCACCTTCATATACTTCACACAGGACCAAAACATGTGGTTCCATCCTAAATGGATCTTTACACACGCTTATGGGTTTTAACTGAGTGTCTGAATTATCTGTAGAAGCCATTCCGCAGGAACTACCATCGAAAGCCCAGCTTGGAGCTGCTTCAGCGGAGTATGGCACGCAGGTAAGAATTCTGTCTTTATTTCTCATATTAATTCCAGATCCATCGATCCATATATAAGTTGCCATAACTTTATTACAAGCGTTTGGAAGTCTTAGGTATCTATCTAAGACTTTTTTGTCCATAATATGATTTATTGAATGTTTCAACATTGTCCTTTTGGGTATAACCATGATGTTGGCGAATCTTTGTAGACGCACGCAATTAATTAAGTTATTCATTTTGAAGTCTTTTCTTACTTACCAATAAATTTAAAATTTCCACAAGAATTTTGTACCACACTGAGTTTTCTTGCACTCTCTATCACAATAAACGTCAAATATTACAAACAAAATATATGAAAGTCGACAGTTCTTAATTTTGAACTTTTTTCTTTTAATCGTTAATATTATAAACAAGTTTCTGCTATCTCAGTGCAAACTCTGTACGGGTCGCAATCACCTGCTGGCCTTCGATCCTCTAGATAGCCCTTTCGCTCGGTGGCTACGCAACGTGGAAGCCTTATAGATGCTCCGCGGTCTGCAATACCCCATTTGCAGTTATCGAAAGATGCAGTCTCAAACTTTCCAGTCAATCTTTTCCTGTTCTCTTCCCCATCCTCAAGTCCATATTTCTTCATAGTTGTATTATGTTTATCACAAAGTACTTTGCAAACTCTTTCGATTTCTTTTATACCTTCATCACCACGCATTTTAGCCACACTAAAGTTATGGTGGCAGCCTATGCCAGGATGATCTTTACCCATGGGCTTAGGATGATAACTAATGATAATCCCGAAGTGTTCAGCTATTCTATTAAGTAAATATCGACCAACCCATAAATCATCAGCAGCTTTAATACCAGAAGTAGTGCCTATTTGAAATTCCCACGAACCTTTCATTACTTCTGCGTTTGATCCCCCATAATTCATACCTGAATATACACAAGCTCTGGCATGACATTCAACCAAATCTCTTCCTGCTATGTGCTCACCTATACCACAGTATGAGTATCGTGCTTTTGTTACTGGATATCCGCGTAATTTTGGCCAACCTAATGGCCACAAGTCTGAATCAAACATGGTATACTCTTGTTCTATTCCAAACCATGGCTCTTGTTCAGATATCTTATTCAAAATATTAGCACAATGAACCCTATTGTTGGTAGATGTAGGAGAACCATCGCCGTTGTACGTTTCACAAAGAACAATTACATGAGGGTTTTTACGAAATGGGTCTTTGTATATAGCCGAAGGTATTAAATAAGTATCAGAATTGTGTGTTTTTGCTTGTCCCGTCGAACTTCCATCAAAGGACCATTTCGGGACCATGGACAAATCACAAGGAACTTCTTCTAAAATTTTATCTTTTGAGCGCATAGTAATTCCACTACCGTCAATCCATATATAAGTAGCAAAAACCTTATCCTCTGGCAGCGGCAACTGTAGGTAATGTTTGAAGTGGGAATTTAATGGCGACTCTGTTTTCGAAACACCACATGTATAATTTTCTGTGCTTAAAAAGCGGACGCTAATCTTTTTGTCACGTGTACATTCAAAAGCAAGCTTTCTAAAGTATTTTAAAGTAAACATATTAATTTATTATAGTTTCTGTGTTATTGCAAATATTAGTTGTCGAACCCTTACTTTTTGTTATCTTGTTGGTCATGGTTGGAAATGATCTAGTGAGCTAAAAATCTCATTAAATTAGGAGTACCTAAGTACCTACTAGCACAGAGAATTTAATATTTGTAAGGGTACTTTAGCTATGAAAGGGAGTAGGTCTCATAGGAGCATATATATGATGTATACTTATGCTCTAAGCTAAGTAGGTACCTGAAGAACTGGGTGTACATTTGACAGGAGGAATTCATATGGAAAGTGTCTTTAAGCATATACTAGTGGAGATGCCATACCGTTCACACACCGAACAAAAACCGCCACTTTTATTTGGTGACGAGGTAAGCACGTAAAGCACATTTACGAAAATATGCTCTTAGGCCGCGATAATAGAATTTTCAGCAACTTTCCCGGTCAAACCAAACCAAAACACTCATTATCCCTAGGAGGAGGAGCCGTGCTTCGAGGACTCTGTCTTAACCTATGATAGATTATTTACTCAGTGAACCTATGGTCTCGAATCTCGACCGGCATGTAATGCCTCCTCTACTCGTCGGCAGATGCGTCCGCAGACGTCGACAGATGCATCAACAGATGGATCACCATTAACCGGGCACACGTCTGACGACGTCAGTAGATCATAAAGTCTGTAATCATTCTCGACAGACGCAACTCGTACGTAGGTATACAACATTATGATTGCAGACGTATCTGCGGACGATAAATACCTACAACAAACGCGCAAACTTAGCGTCTACACGCTTTAGAGCATTATACCAAGCTCTGAGGTCTATACGTCGACGGGCGCATCCGAAGAAGCGGAGCACGAGACAGAAATTCTACGTAAGGGCGTATTTACCATGTACATCATGCCTAATTTGAAACGTCAGGTGCAAAGTAGCACTCAGAGCGTAGGTTAGGAACGTATCAGTATTAAACGATAAAATTGGGCAAAATAAAATTCAAAATATGTAATTCTCTTGTATTTTTTTATTTAAATATCCCTGAATAATTAAATGGTGTTTGAAATTCGTAAGAATTCTGGCTACCCAATCATAAGTCACGTCATTTTAGTCCTTGATAGCAACTCAATACAGGGTTATTATATACAATTTTTATGATTTCACCAAAACTGATTTTTATATTTCCCCAAAATCAATGTGACCAGATTCAGTACTTTTTTTCTGTTTCGGTATATTTTATCGACTTTTCGGAGCATCAGTATTTTTGGGTATATTGGCGGAGGTCAGTATTTTCGGGTATCTTTGGGATAAAAATTTGTGACAACACCGTAGCGATTGTCCCGCCAACATGAATGTTCTGTTGATTTCCCGGATTGAGACTTTAATTTAGATATGATCAGTGATTAGCAAGCAAAAGGACATGATAAGGAAATATCTAACAGCTAAGACGATTTCAGTGTATTGATTTTCTGTTCTGCAGTTCTATTGGCTTTACCTTTTAAGGAATTCCATTATTTTAGTCATCATGTAATTAGAGTGCGTATTTTTCTTGTTTATGAATAAATAATAATATATTTAACTAGCGGCCACCCGCAACTTCGTCTGCATTTACTATAGTTTTATTGAAAATCCCATAGGAACTTAAAAAAATACGGGATAAAAGGTATTCTATGTCTCATGGCAAAATCTATATGCGTGCAAAGTTTATCCAAATTCGTTTAGTAATTTTGGCGTGATAAAGTAACAAAGTTACATATTTATAATATTAAGTAGGATATAAATGTTAGGAACGACTTCAATAGACGTTAAATTCCAATGACTATACCAAGACAATAGACGTTACTAGGTAACACTCTTGTTTGTAACAATTGATTATTGTAATGACTGGAAAGCTTCTAATAAAAATGAAATACCTATTTTAAAGTTATCAATTGAATTTTAATGATAAAGTATATAATACAGTTAAAAAAAATGTTGACTAGTTTCAATAAATCTCTGTTAAAATGTATACCAGTATCGAATGTTCCACGCGAGCACTTATTTTCACAGACAAATTAAATAAAAACAGTACAAAGAAATAAATTTATAAACAAAACGGTATAGAATAAAACCCATTTTGAAAATCTGTTAAACTGGTATTTTTTCTCCGCGCAAGTCGGTATATCAGTATTTGTTTGTGGTGTTTCGGTATTTTCGTAAAATTTATTCTGGCCACACTGCCCAAAATCCTAAGCGCTTAGTAACTAAAAAAATCTAGAGGCTGTATGAGCTTTGTTCTCTTTGCCTTCTCTAAAAAGGGAGAACTTAAAAACAATTGTTTTACAATGTGCTCTGTGGCAAAGAGTAGGTAGTATTCAAAGAGTAGTATTTGTTTAAAAATTATGGGCTCTGTAGTTTTATTGCGGCCCGTATTTTACAGATTCCCAGGGGTTTTTGGCGGGATTTCATCGAGTGCGGTTGGCGTCTTATTTTAATTATTCCTAAATTCGTTCATAGTGGATATTGTGAAATAAAATTGGTGTGGTTTTATGTAACAACCGTCTGCGTAACTGAAGAATTGGTGGAATCGTTAAAATATTCCGGTCAAGTGAACGTGAGTGTTGACTACCTCACAGAAGCTTATCGAAAAAGCCAATTCGATACATTTCGTGCCAAACCCTCCAAGAAACATTAGAATGCGTCACACCGACATTCTAATGTAAAAACAAAAAGAAGATTAATTTAATTAAGGACCAGGCTGTATGGGCAGTGGTGTCGATTCTGGAGTGATTCTCTAAACTTAAAATTAAATTTAACATCAGTCTCTCCTTTTCATTCTGTATAGAGAATAACAAGGATGCACTGTTGTCAAATTTAAGTTTAGCTTTAGAAAATCCTGCCAGAATCGACACCATTGTTCTCTTTGCCTTCCCTATAACGGGAGAACTTCAACAAAAAAAAATACAGATTCCCAAGTCAAGTGTATTTTTTATAAATAGTTTCCACAGATTACTTTAAAAGTAGCAAGCTATAATTTCCTTTGGAATTAATATTATGGCTGTGCCGGCTATAGTTATTTACTTGATACATTGAAACTCATAATTTTTGACAATTTAACATGGAAACGTGAGTATTTACAAAAAGAAGGTCTTATGAAAGAAAACTATTTCAAGCTGGATAATAATATTTGATAGAAAAAAAAACTTCTGTTAGACTACCTAAAGAATTAATTAAATGCTCAGTTACACCTATGACTATACTTTTAGGTCATTGGCTTACATATACCAAAGATGGCAAAAAAAACATTGAGCTCTTTTCTATAAATAATTTAATTTTAAATTATTAATTAACTGACTTGTTTTTCTTACTATTCACTCTTCAGTAAAAAAGTTTCAGTACTATGTAAATTACAGATATTTTTCTAAACTGACAAAATTGTCTCTCTGATTATTGTTTAGAAATATATATTATGCTGTGTAATATGTGACTTGGTAAATATTAACTTGTATTTTACTGTTAATATTAAAATTAATGGGATAAGTATATAAATATTCACATATTTCAGTATTAAACCAAATGCAGCATTCCTCTGTAACTTCGAAGTAATGCAAATATTGCAACAACTCAAGGATAGTACACAAAAGAAACACAAGAGAGAGGGATCATTAGCAACTGTCACATATGAGGTATATACTATCAAAGATCACACAAACATTTCATAAAACATCTGCTACATGTTATATTTTATCAAATTTATGTTTGTAGACTGTACATTACTTACAAAACTCAGATTGCAAGCATCAAAATGCACAATCTATTGAAAAGTTTTTGGAAGCAATGAAACCTTTTAAGTTAACAAAATCGGAAAAACTGATGATGCTAAATACTCCACCACACACAGAGCTTGAGATTCAATTGGTAAGATTTATTTTTTTATATTTCCTTCCTGGGCCCAAGAGGTTATACTTCACACTAGGTTACCTTAGTGTTGTGACCATAACACGCAAGTTGAGCGAGCACAGTGAGAGTGCCACGGCAGGAGCCGGCTAAGCACCAGAAAATAAAATTGTTTATAGAAAGCACTTCAACAAAAAAATGACAAGTATCTCCGCTTGATCCCAGGAAGTACAGTTTTACCTAATTGTTTTGTAATATTCAATTTATTTCCACAGGGTCATGTCATAAAAATTATAAGGTCCATTTATATATTAAGGCTTTTTTGCCGTTCTTTATTTTATAGAAAATATCTAAGTTTAAGAGTGCCTTTCGGCACAGTCCCTCCAGCTCTTTCCAGTGTGTCCTATCAAAACCAACTCTGCACCTGCATGAGCCAGCTGTCAATTTCAATTCATCCTCCCATCTCTGAATCTCTATTAAAACATGCTGTCATATTTATGAATATTTTTTGCGCAAAGCAAATTTAGTTCTGGTGCTTTTCGTCATCAAATATAATACTGGCACTGAAAAACAATTGTATGAAAGATGAACTCATATTAACTCTATACTCCATATAGTTCCAAATACATATTTAAACTGATTCTTTTAGCTCTTTAAATTTTTAATTTTGTGCTTCATCTAAATGCCTCTCTGATATAGTATCTTATGTGCTTCCTGTCACATCCAATGCTTTCCAAGATCTGGCAAAGGTTACTGAGTTCTGATTTGACCTGAATGCTTTTTAGATTGGTGTACTAAGATAATATTTAAAATTAATAATAATATAAAGTGTGTAGACACAAATTTCTGATATCCATTGCTATTCCTACTGTGATTCGGTAACAAGAAAATATAAGAGAACTATAGATTATGGTTTGTTGAGCTTATTTATAATTTTTCCTGATGTCTCTTTTCAGATTGTGCAAGAGAGCGAAGAAAGGCTTTCAGAGGATGAAGTTCGTAAAATAATAAGTATTGTTAATGAACATTTGCCATCCAGTGATACAGCTTAGTAAAATTGCTTAATATTTAAACAAATTACTATGTACATAAATTCAATTAATTATAATTTAGTAAAGTTATTGTATTTTGCAAACTTAATATTTTTTTGTATATGACGAACAATGACTAACGCCGATTAAAATGCCTACTAATTGGCATTCTCAATTGATTCAGCACCTTTCATTTATCAGTGTGTAAAATAATTGGAAAAAAGTACAGTCATCAAAATGTGATGTAAAAAAGTGTATTAAATATCTCCAACGGAGCGGACGCGATCTGTCCCTGTAGCATGAGCACCACTAATAACATCACATCACGTTTTTTAACTCGTCTAACTGTCAAATCTTATAGTAATTTGACAATAGAGCGTTATCACGCTCAACTTTAAGCTTTTTTATCAAAAAGCCTTATTTATCATAACTAGTGGCCCGCCCTCGCTTCGCTTCTGGTAGAATTGATCAAAATCCTTTCTTAGTGGATGCCTACGTCATAACATCTACCTGCATGCCAAATTTCAGCCCGAACCACTGTACGGGTTTGGGCTGTGCGTAGATAATAGATCATTATGTTAGTTAGTCAGTCACCTTTGAGTTTTATATAAATAGATATTGTGGTGTTCATCCTATCGTCATTTGAGAAATAGGTATTTGGTAAAGTATTGCTATCGATCAGGACAACAGTAGCTAATGCTGAAAATTGCGTATTAAAATTGCAAAAATTCGAGTTTTGGCTCGACTATTTATTTCGCGAAAATTAGTTATATGTAAAAGACATGTTACCCATAGAATAATAAATAGTTACACTATGCCTCTATGTTTTGCCTTTTTTTATAAATGTCTATTAAATCTCTACACTAGACGTCTTTAATGGTGATAACCATTTGTTTATTTTTGTCACATTAACACAAGTTATCGAAAAAAGGAAGACATAGGAGCATAGAATGAGTACAATTTTATTTTATGTATGAAAATCAATTCTTTAGTAACAAAAATCAAGGGTCAATCAGTCGAGGTTTGTATGGAAAAATGATTTCCCGCCTCCCCTCTTCATAATCGTATTTTCGATTTGTATATGATTTTGTGGCCTATGTCCAGCAGTGGGCGTCGTACGGCTGATATGATGATGATGATGTATATGATACTGTTGAAAACTTTAGTTTTTTATTCTACAGTATGTTTCTGTCTTTAAGCTATGTATTAAAAAAAAATATACTGCAATTATTGCAATATCATATACAAAGTTTCACAAATCGCCAAGACAATCCATTGTGAAGATTATGAAGAGGGGAGCCGCGATCACAAGTTCTTGCAATGGCATCTGTTAGCCAAATAGGGAACCAACAGGTGATACTTGTTTTTTTTTTTGTAGAAAAGGTCTACCGCGGCGCGCTCGCTTCGCTCGCTCGGCTGTGTCCGTGATACTAGCGTACACACGATCAATATACGGTTTTTCGTTATGCCATTAAATTGTGCCAAATTAGTGTAAAAATAAAAAAAATAGTGCCTCTTTAATTTAAGAAATAAAGACCATTTTTACTGAGTACGCTAGCATGACGTCAAGCTGGCGTACCCATTGCCGTCCCCAAGAACGGCATAATTGACACACAAAAATAGTTCGCAAATAGTGCCCTGGCTTTACAAAATTTCATAATCAATACCCTTATAGTACCAAAGATAATGAACTAAACATTCTTAGCTGGCATCAACCTGGGTTAGTTCTCATATAAAATGACCTTTTCTCGTTATCAATGCTATACGTATAAATAGTGTGTCAAATAGTGCCTCTAACTAACAAAGTATTTTATGTGAATCTAATAACATGCTCACTCAATGTTTTCAAGGACTGTATAAAAAAGTAAATGGAGATTTTGACGGAGCTTTATACATTTTTAATGTTATTATATTATTTTATCTAATAACACACATTACAATAATAAATGACTTAAGCAATAGAAAAAAAATCCTTATAACAATAATTATGGAAAGTATACCTGAAAAGACTGATATTCTCGATTTTTTTATGTATGTATTTTGTAAGGAAGTGTATTTAAAGAAACCCTTGAAAACATACCTACTGGTAGTGATTAATGAAAAAAAAAACAAGTATCCCTACTGCAATAGTGGAGATACTTCAGAATTATTATTTTTTTTGAATGAACTTTACGGAGCTGTCATGGACTCGTGCTTATGCAGTGGCTTGGTCCTCAGATCAAATAAAATTAGATCTATGGTTCTCCGACAGTAGGTAATGAAGCGAAATCCTTCAGGTGTCGGTAATGTACCTATAGCCCAAGTATAGCCTAACAAAGCACGGCCACGGAATGATGGGATTCATGTACATGGTCTCCAATTCCAGGGCCGTACATTCCTTGATGTGCTTTTCGGGGCAGTGCATTGTCGCCTGTCTCAGTAATGCACGGCCACGGAATTCATGTACATGGCTTCCAATTCCACGGCTGTGTATTACTTGGGATGGGTTTTTTCGCGCTCACAGCTCATGCCAGTAATGCCCGACCCGATAATTCACAGCCACGGAATTCATGCCCATGGGGTATTTGACAAGTTTTAGAAAACGATCTCACGTTATTGACTAATGTTTATGGAGTCCGTATATTCATCATTATGTTGTGTATTTCAGTAATAAAAACAATCAAATCAAAAACTCCATTTTCAAGTTGCGGCGAACACTTTCTGGATAATATGGTCTTACCAGTGTGTGACGTCACACAACTGTTATTAAAACGTCAAACGATGAACTTTAATCGGAAGTTTACTTGCGTGTAACGTCATTTTAGGCTTCGCCAATCCCAAGCGTTTTGGGTCACGTGACAATAGCTGAGAAAACTATTATCTTTTTCGTGGGTTTTTAGTAAAATTAAGAATATTTTGTTATGTAAAAATAGTAAAAACCCCTGCCAATATTCATTCTAAACACAGATGCTAACAATGAGGGCTATCGTTTTTTGTCTCACCAGATGGCGCCACTGTTGAGTGAGGTCCTGAAGTGTAACTTTTAAAGTTAGTAAACACGCTCGTGATATCAAAGTTTACATTTTAATACAAAAGAATCGTATCTTAAACATAATCGCCCATGCCACAGTGTTGCGCAGTCCCGTTTTGTTCGGAAAAAAGAAGGACAAGATTTTTTCTTAGCTCCGCTTTTAAATAACTGACAATCATTGACACGTAACTCATATTTGCCATAATAAGTCTGATTTATTACCAAATATTCACCACTATTATTTTAATTAGAAAAAAACCGCGTAGTCAACCCGCAAGCTATAACATTTGACATTTCGGAGACCTCACGCAACACAAGCGCCTCTAGCGGCAGTTTCAGACGCGATACAGTGCTGCCATATCTACCAACTTTTTGGTAGATCTACCAATTTTCACTTCAGTCTACCTATCTACCACCCTAGACCTAAAAACTACCTATTTTTTAATTAGTTTGACATATCACCACTTTGAATTATTTTTATATCGACGAGCGACGTTGCGATGTATTGCGTGAACCATGCAACGATGCGTCAAGCATATATAGAGTCCAGGCCATAAACCACAAAAAAAAAGCAACAGTTCGCCATGAGTTCGGCGTTCGCACAATTTCGCGCCCATATTTTACTATTCCTACTGTGGCCTATTCCCGGTTGGTTTGTTGCGGAATCAATGTTGAATCTTTGCTCCTGTTTTATTGTAAAAACTAATTAACTGCGTATTAACGGTGCTGATTGCTGTTTGTTCTATGTTGCGTGCATTTATTTATATAATGGATTCTGACAGCAGCGAAAGCGATGCACATAGTTCTAGGTTAGGAACTCCGCTACAAAAACCTAGAAAAAGGCACTATGACCAAAAATATTCGAAATTATGGGAGAAAGACAAGGAATTTGCAGGTTGGCTTTAAGAAATTACTAAGGGGGACGGATATTTTTATTGCAAATCATGTAGGTGTGATCTGAAGTGTGCTCTGCATTGATTTGCATGCATTTTTAATCTTAAAAAACCTTCTAAATTGAGGTGGTAGATCTACCAATTTTGCATTTTACATTCTACCAACTTCTACCAACATTTTGCACATAATCTACTAATTTTCTAAAATTCGGGTTGGCAGCACTGACGCGATAGCCCTCATTGGCACTTTATTTTTAATACTGTCAAATACTCTATTATATCCATTTTGAAAACAGTTGACGAAATATATTTTCAAATGACAAAAAATCAAATTCAAATTTAGAACACAGGTGGCCAGATATACGAATTTAAAAATGAGATATATATTTTAATTCAAACTTTTTAAATAGCAGTGGCTAGTTACTTTTCATCCCGCTCTCTATATTTTCTTTTAAAAATACATTTGATAATCGACCTTTTCATATCGTCGGTGATACTGCAAATGGAGTTATGTCAGCTAAAAGTGATTTTACAGTAGAGACAAAAAACTGTTTTTTTTTTAGTTTCTGTCGCTAAGTATTTGATAAGTACGTAGTGTTACAACGGTAATAAGAGCTATAAAATAATATGTGTATGAATTTCCAATGTAGCTTAATTATGGAAATAATTGGACTTAGCACATTTTGCAATGAATTAATTGAACCTATTGTTTTGACATAAAACATATTGCTGTTTAAAAAAGCTGATAATTTTAAAATAATCGTAGTTTATTAACGGAATAATAAAATAACTATAACCGCAATTAACGTATAAAACTGTGTATAAAATAGGACAAAAAACATGCATTCGAAGATGTTTGCTGCCTTTATTTTTAACTTACTAGCTATAAGTAGTAAGTACCTAAATTAATTTACTAGCTAGAACATGGCTGTCAAGATGTAGAACGATGTGGCACATGATGTTGATAACCTATACTAATTTACGAACATGTGGACATGTTTCAATGTCTGAACAGCCATGTTCTAGAGAATCATAAAATATATGATGATCCGAAGGAATAAGATTCTTCATTTCCTGAAGATGTGCAAATTTGGTTGCTTCTATAGCCAGTGGCTTCTGGTAAAGGGAAGGGCG